CTGAGTTCAAAAATTAAACCCCTTTTTACATTGTCTGAATCTACAACACTTTAATCTTGTCCTATACATGACAGACTCGCTTTATCATTTTATCACCTAAATCGAGTGTTAAATACAGAGCCGGCGCCATACAAGACAAGTGTGAAGTGGACACCTTTTGTGTGTTCTATGCTTTGTGTGATGTGGCAGCTGCTGCTGCTTCCCTGGTGTCATTGATTGTCATTGATGTCCAGATTTGTTTAGAAAAATTATTACTTTATCATTATTAATGTGATTTATGTGAGAGAAGTTTTTATTTCCTATCCTGTAACACAGTTTTTCCATATCGTGTCTGTGGTGGAAGTGTGCTGCCGGCTATATTGAGCGGAGGACCTCCAGATGGTGATAGGATTTAGGGCCCCAGATTAGATATTAATCCTTGTGTTCCTATAGGGCAGTGGTTCTCAACCTTCCTAATGCCGCGACCCTTTAATACAGTTCCTCATGTTGTGGTGACCCCCAACCATAAAATTATTTACCCATTAATTATAATTCATGAAGTGTGGTTTTACCTCCAATACTGCTGCTTTCAACAGTAGCTGCTTTCTGCACAGTAGCTGCTTTCTGCACAGTAGCTGCTTTCTGCACAGTAGCTGCTTTCAACACAGTAGCTGCTTTCTACACAGTAGCTGCTCTTTACACATCGGAAATATGTGTTTTCCTGATGGTCCTAGGCGACCCCTGTGAAAGGGTCGTTCGACCCCCAAAGGGGTCACGACCCACAGGTTGAGAACCACTGTTATAGAGGAACAATTGCTGGCCTGGCCTGGGCTTGGTTGGATGTGGTTGTCTAATCTCTAATGTAGCTATAGTGTTTGCAGAATGCTTCTGGTATAAAGCGCCTGTAGACCTAGGACAGGGGTAGGCAACCTGGGAGCCGCAGGACTACAAGTTCCATCATGATTCTGCAAGTCAAAGCTGTAACTGTCAGTTTTGTAATCTTTGCAATGCCTCATGGGAAATGTAGTTCCACAACTGGTAGAGAGCCGCAGGTTGCCTACTCCTGACCTAGGAGGATATTTGTGTGCCTGGATCGGCAGTAGGGCAATGTACTGGGCACATTCTGCTCCACCTGAGGAAGGGCCCGAAAAATGCGTACTGCTGTGATATGAAGCATTACTCAGGGCAAAACTATTTTTTTTTCATTACTTTTATTTTAGTTTTGGATAGAGAGAGAGACTAGCACCTCCTGTATGGTTCTTATTGCTTTTGAGGAGATTTGCCCTGTTTACTATTCTCACTAAGAGCTCAAATTTTGGGTTGTAACCAGAACATGAATAGAAGGGAAATCTTACAATGATGACACTAGTTCCAGTGACAACCAAGGATTTCCCCTACTTCCTGTTTTGGTAAGGAGACAGGAAGTGAAAGGGAATCTCCCCAAAGTGACACACATAGAGAAAAAAAACTGACAGGGGTTGTTTCTCCCTTACCTTATCCAAAATGACTAAAAAGGAAGCTTTACCTTTAGTTCTACTTTAGCAGAGAGCCTGAGGATTATGCCTGTTTATGTATGGGTGTCGGAGGGTCCATTGTTGGAATAAATTACCTCGTGTATATGTAATAACTTGTGTTTTTTTGATACAACAAAATGCAGGATATCATAGACAGGCTTTTGCACCACTTAGGTTTCCAAATACTTACTCCAATAACCAAAAAGTACAGGAGTCATGCTTTTCCATGACTAGTTACAGTATGTGCAAGTTTGGCCCCCAAAGTCCATTTATTTGACTAGTGTGATTGATCTGTTGCTTGGGCTTGCTTCAGCTCTTTGTACCCTGGTCCACTGTAAAAGGTAGGTGCTTGGGCACCGGAGCACTTTGGTCTCTGGCAGAGGTGTCGTAAGTGTGCCCGGGCCTAGCACCGTGTGAGTGCAGGACAGCATGGGAATGGGGAAAGCCTTGCTTGGGCACAGTACAAGGTGACTGCATACTGAGAGCATGCCTTCAAAATTAGTTTATACATGCATTTAAATAATAACCGCTTCCTGACCGCCCTATAGCAGAAATACTGCTACAGGGCAGCATGGGTGTGCAAAATCACACATATATACTTTTTGCATTTCCGGGTACGGGGCGTACACTCTAACCGCGCCGCCATTCGCGGCTGTAAATCGCCAGGTCCCAGCTGGTGATTACTCTCCGGCTCCCGGTGATTCTCGAGGATCTCCGATGGGGAGGAGAACTGTTTTGTTTGCTAACAGTTCTCCTCCCTGTCATCTCGGGCACACTGCTTTGGATCCAAAGCAGTGGGATTAAAGTGAGGCACACAGACACCACCACCCCCTAGTAAACCACTCCCAGTACACAGTTAACCCTTTGATCGCCTCTCATGTTAACCCCTTCCTGCCCCGTGCCATTAGTACAGTGTCAGTGGTCAGTGCTTTTTTTTTTTTTTTTTTTTTTTTCCCCCCACCCCAGTGTCAGAATGTCTGCCACAGTCCCGCTACAAGTTGTTGATTGCCGCCATCACTAGTTAAAAAAAAAAAAAAAAAAAGAAAAAAAGAAATCACAGTATATATACCGCCAAAGTTATTGTAAACCCAATAACTTTCATGTAAACCAATTAATTTACATGTACTGGGATTTTTATAAGCAAAGACATGAAGCAAAATACATTTTGACGTAAGTTTATGATGAAATTTGATTTTTTTAAATCTTTTTACTGGACGTGTTAATAGCAGAAAGTCAAAAATGTGTTTTTTTTTTCTCTTAATTGGCGGTCTTTTTTTTTTCTTTTCTTTATTATAGCACAAAAAATAAAAACCGCACAAGAGATAAAATACTACCTAAAGAAAGCTCACTTTATGGGAAAAAAAGGGACATACATTTAATTTGGGTTTATGGTGGTTGGGTTTATGATGAAATTTTTATTTTTTTTTTTTACATTTTTTTTACTGGACATGTTAATAGTAAAAAGTCAAAAATATTGTTTTTTTTTTGCTCTTAATTGGCGGTCTTTTTTTTCTTTTCTTTATTATAGCACAAAAGATAAAAACTGCACAGGCGATAAAATACCACTGAAAGAAAGCTCAATTTGTGGGGAAAAAAAGGATGTAAATTTAATTTGGGTTTGGTGTTGCATGACCGTGCAATTGTCAGTTATAGTAATGCAGTGCCTTATCACAAAAAAAGTGCCTATTCAAGAAGGGGGGTAAATCCTCAGGAGGGCAAGGGGTAAAAAAAAAAAAGTTATCTGACTACATAACATAACGGCGTAGTACCTGCCTAGAGACTTCTATCCGAGTAGCAGAAGAACAAGGCACACACAGGTCTCTGGCTTCACTTCAGAATGAGTGGAACGTGTTTTTGATTTGTAGACTCTTGTCACCATAAATCTGCTCATGGAGTTTTTGTCTTTATGGTGAACACTTGACATGGCTGCTTATAATCTTTTTTTTTTTTTTTTTTTTTTTTTTTTCTTTTTCAAATTGAAGTGAACGTAGCACATTTAAAATGCAGCAAAACAAAGCTGCATGTTAGAAAGCCGGGCTCTGGATGAGCGTTAGATAAAATAAATATGTATCTTTTTTAGTGAGGCCCGACCACTTCTCTTTAAAGATGACTTCCAGGCGGATATTTTTACAGCTTGGACCATTGTAGCTATGTATATACCCAGGGGCGGACTGAACATTTGGAAACCCGGGCACTGCCCGAGGGCCCGGGGTCAGTAGGGGGCCCCATGAGATGCCCCTGGTACCTTTTTCATAGGCTTTTTTGAGTTTGGGCAAGGACACAGGGGCCCCCATGATCCAGTATTGTCCGAGGGGCCCCCATGAGTTGTCGGTCCGCCCCTCTATATACCATACCTAGATTGTAAGCTCGAAAGAGCAGGGCCCTCGATCCCCTCATGTTTTGCATTGTATTGGTATTGTTCTGTCACATGTTCTGTCCCCCTTTGTAATGTACAGCGCTGAGCGAACCATTGGCGCTTTATAAATACTGTATAATAATAATAATACCTGGGGTTTCCTGTAGAAGCAGAAAATCACTAAAGTGCACACCGCTACTCCAGTGATCTCCACTAGTTTCTGTGTCCTGTGGCTGCCCTGCTGCACTGTGACCACAGGAGGTCTGCTCGGCATGGTTGGTATTCAGAGATTACTTTGCAGTATTGCAATGAATGCAAAGCATTCTCTGATTGGATGAGGTGGAGAGGTGGGGCGGAGACATCAGGCTCTCCACTTCATCCTATCAGAGAATGCTTTGCATCCATTGAGAAAATTTCAAACCACCAAGCTGGATCAATGTAACTACGTACAAATATCTATACCTAGAATTCTACCAGGCATTTGCAAGCTGAATTTGGAGGTTAAGTGGGGGGGGGGGGGGGGGTGCAGTCATGGTTCCTCCTGTACAATGACTAGGGGGGGGGGGGGACATGTGGGCACCATGTGGACTTGCTTTCAGACACACCTTCGTTGTAGTGTTATGTTATGTGGCACTTTAAATATCAGTGACAATTTCAGTTGTGTCTGTGATCATCCGCTTACAAATGTATAAAAGTGTTACCATACAATATAATATGAAATTGTATCCGGATCATTCTACCCAGCTCTGCTACCATGCGTGCTTGTTGTTATGACGGACTTGCTTGTAGCGTGCTTGTTGTTATGACGGACTTGCTTGTAGCGTGCTTGTTGTTATGACGGACTTGCTTGTAGCGTGCTTGTGTTCATGATGGAATGACTTTAGAACACTGTGAGGTGGTCGTGTCTCCGTTGTACAACATTCTTTTCTTTGTCGGAGGTCAGATCACTGTAAACTGAAAATAATGACATTGATTCTCCTGTTCAGCTATGGTATTCCTTCAAGTACAACTCTGAACATATATACCATATTTTTCGCTTCATAAGATGCACTTTTTTTCCCCCTCAAAAAAATGGCGGAAAATGTCTGTGCTTATGGAGCGGCCAGCCCGGTATTCCCGCCGCCGCTGTGTTAGAATACCTGGCCGGCCACTCGGCTCTTCTGTGCAGCAGAACCTGCTCCTCAGTCCAGCGCTGTCCTCACCGTCTTCTCTCCCTGGCGCCAGCATCTTTAGTGTGGGCACCCGGCTGTGATAGCTTGCGGCTTCACAGCTGGGTGCCCACTGGTCATCCCCTGTACTATGTGTCCGCAGTCTCTGGTCATCTCCTGTACTGTGTCTGCAGTCCGCAGTCTCTGGTCATCTCCTGTACTATGTCCGCAGTCTCTGGTCATCTCCTGTACTGTGTCCGCAGTCTCTGGTCATCTCCTGTACTGTGTCCGCAGTCTCTGGTCATCTCCTGTACTGTGTCCGCAGTCTCTGGTCATCTCCTGTACTGTGTCCGCAGTCTCTGGTCATCTCCTGTACTGTGTCCGCAGTCTCTGGTCGTCCCCTGTGCTGTGTCCGCAGTCTCTGGTCGTCCCCTGTGCTATGTCCGCAGTCTCTGGTCGTCCCCTGTGCTATGTCCGCAGTCTCTGGTCGTCCCCTGTGCTATGTCCGCAGTCTCTGGTCGTCCCCTGTGCTATGTCCGCAGTCTCTGGTCGTCCCCTGTGCTATGTCCGCAGTCTCTGGTCTGGTCGTGTCCCTGTGCTATGTGTCCGCAGTCTCTGGTCGTCCCCTGTGTGCTATGTCCGCAGTCTCTGGTCGTCCCCTGTGCTATGTCCGCAGTCTCTGGTCGTCCCCTGTGCTATGTCCGCAGTCTCTGTCTCTGTAGTCGTCTGCTGTAGTATGTCCGCAGTCTCCGGTCGTCTCCTGTACTGTGTCCGCAGTCTCCGGTCGTCTCCTGTACTGTGTCCGCAGTCTCCGGCCGTCTGCTGTACTATGTCCGCAGTCTCTGGTCTTCTCCTGTACTGTGTCCGCAGTCTCTGGTCATCTCCTGTACTGTGTCCGCAGTCTCTGGTCTTCTCCTGTACTGTGTCCGCAGTCTCTGGTCATCTCCTGTACTGTGTCCGCAGTCTCTGGTCATCTCCTGTACTCTGTCCGCAGTCTCTGGTCATCTCCTGTACTCTGTCCGCAGTCTCTGGTCATCTGTACTGTGTCCGCAGTCTCTGGTCATCTCCTGTACTCTGTCCGCAGTCTCTGGTCATCTCCTGTACTATGTTTGCAGTCCATTGGTTCAGAATATTTTTTTTTCTGGCTTTCCTCCTCCTAAAACCTAGTAGCGTCTTATGGAGCAAAAAATATGATAACTAACATCCTATAGTTTCCTTGTGTGTTAGTGCTAAGTAGGCTTACAGGAGGTACAGAAATGAAGGTAGGTGGTGATGATGTCCTCAGAGGAGCTAGGGGCCATTGCAGAAGTGAGGACCAAATTGAATGTTAGCAGACCAGGGCTATGATGTATGGAATGGAGGTAAGTGCGGGGACATGGACTTATTGATACCTTCTGGAAGGAACGCTAAGAAGCCGAATTGTAAAGTCTTCACTGAAATGAGACATGCTAAGTTACTTCAAAGTGTTTTCTAATTTTTTTGCATTGCTTGTGTTGGTGCTTGCTGGCCTATAAATCTATACATAGTGATTATTCATTGGCTCCCCTAATAGCCGTTTTTTGTCTTTCCTTGCAGAATATGATAGACACCTAGCATCTAACAAGACTATGGCTGCGGCTTACCTGGATCCCAACCTGAATCATGCACCCAGCTCAAACGCCAAGTCCCGCCTGAGCACCGGCATGGAACGCTCACCGGGTGCCATCGAGCGAGTGCTCAAAGTCTTCCATTACTTTGAAGCCAACAGTGAGCCAGCGACATGGGCCAGCAACATCCGGCACGGAGACGCTACAGACGTCAGGGTGGGTGTGTTTCTCCTCTGGAACTACAGAACTCTAGTCTAAACACAGATCTTTCTATGTGACATGTTTCATCTGTGAAGAAAATCTAGTAACAATATTTGTAATAGGTTTTTGGAGTTCCCAACACCAATGGGACTCCAAAGTCGTGCAGCTTTGAAGTCCGACTATGCTGTGCAACTTTATTGCAACTTGCTGCCACTCAGTGCTACTTCAACAATACATGTCAATGCAGGTCGCAATTTAGTCGCACAAAAATAGCACAGGAACCTTTTTTGGAGTTGCAGCAATTAGAATGGGGCCATTGAAAGACATGGGATGTGACTTGTCATGCTACTTCAAAGCCGCAAGTCGCATGACAAGTTACATTGGTGTGAACCAGAGCTTAAAGTGTATTTCTGCTTTATATTTGTTACCCATTCCCATAGCATAGCCTAAAAAATATATTATATATATATATATATATATATATATATATATATATATATATTGCAGCTTCTCCTTTTAGATGTTCTATTCTGGACCCTCCAACAGGGAAAAAAAAATGCTACTTAGCTCTATTTGTTTATCAGGGTGCTGGGCAGATTTGTCATAAATAGCCTTGTCTTTACTGTGCAGGCAGATCTTCATTATCATTTATATGTAGATTTGAATGCTGTCTGTCCTAACAAAGGGTTAAAGATTTAGGAGCTTGGTTTTTTTCCCTGAAGAGGTGCATTATATGTTAATGAGGACAGATTTGGGACAGACTCACTCTGACATTGTTTAAAAAAAAAAAAAAAAACACCTTCCAGTCAGCCATGACATCTTGTCCTGAGAAACATCTAAAAAAAAAAAAAATAAAATGTCTAGGCATGCCATGTGTATGGGAACACATAAGATACCTGTAGTGGGGATTTCTGAGATTTAAATGCAAAAGTGGAAATACGCGTTAATGCAGACATTCTGGTCTGTGTGTGTGTTTTTCCCCACCTTGAATTACCGCTGTGCTGTAATATATACAGGCATACCTCAGTTTGCGAACGCCCGGTTAACGTAATTTTCTGTTTACGAATGAAAATACCCCAAGACTTTGGCTGTGCGGGCGGGATTGAAGGGTGGTGATGATAGTAGTGATGGATAGGGTGATGGGGAGGGGGGGGGAGTATCGCCAAACACTCAATATGCCTCGGTTTACAAATTTTTTTTCGCAATACGAAGTCAGTTTCCCCAGGATGGATTGTGCCTGGGAGGTTTATCGCGCCGGCCCTGTGCCTTTAAAGTGCACTTTATAAAGCGTTTTGAACAGATAAACTTTTTTAACTTTTTTCTGACCTCCGGAACGGATTAATTGGTCTAATTTCTTTTTAATCATGTCCCTGTACAGTATTTATGCCTTTAAAGTGCACTTTGTAAAGAGTTTTGAACAGATAAAATACTTTTTTTTTTTTTTCTTCTTTACTTTTTTCTGACCTCCGGAACGGATTAACTGGTTTTCAATGCATTCCTATGGGAAACCGCATTTTTGGTTTACAAATTTTTTGCAATGCGAAACATCCTGGAGAACGCATTAAATTCGTAAACCAAGGTACGCCTGTACTGTAGTAGCATTAACTACATGCAGTATGTGGTGTTGTGTTCCAGTACAGGTGACTTCCAGTCTACTGCCAGAATAATTAAAACTGAGTCAGGCTGAGTGCTTCACAGTTCAAGAGAAGCCTTGTATTTTTATTAAGGAATACAATTCTTTATGCATGTTGTAGTAGAGCACGGGTGTCAAACTGGCGGCCCTCCAGCTTTTGCGAAACTACAAATACCATGAGGCATTGCAAGATTGCCAGTTACAAGCATTATAATAAACAGAATGGTGCAGCGCTATTTTTATGCATACAAATAATTATAAAATCAGTGGATACAGATCAATAAACATAAACGCATATACAGTTATAAAACTTACAGGTGCGTAAGAAATGCCAGGATCTATTAGGTGATAAAAGGTGCAGAAGAAAAACATGCCATCCAATAGGACCCAAACGCGTGACTTAAACCTGTCCCTCACTGGGACCAATCCCCAATATTCAAGTGTGATATGCACAAAAAAAGAAAGTGGGTCCCTATACAGGGATATATATTGCAAACAAGTGCTCAGTGTACATTCACATTTTGTTATAAATCAAGTGTGAAACATAAATGTCCATATAGTACCATCATACATGCTAATGGCAAGAGTAACACAATAATTTTCTCCTTATACGGGTGCTCCAGTGTTAGTGCAAGCGGTGGGTGTAAATCCTAAACGGCCAGCATGCCCGCTCACCTTCCTGCTGCGACCCTACAAGGGAAGTGCGTCACCACGCCACATCTACTTCCTGAGGAAGTCACGAGGGCGTGACGTAACGCGTAGATGCGGTGTGGTGACGCATTTCCGGTGAGCGCCATCTTAGGACTCCAAAGTGTCTGCAGTACATCCATGTTTAGTGGTGTTAAGTGCCTGACATTTTCTACTTAAATGTGAGTTGATTGCCTGGCGATTTTATTCAATTCTACCATTAAATACAATATTGCACTATGGAGGATCTTTGTTTTGTCCTTACATAATTCCTACATGGTCTTTACGTATTGGTAAGCCTATGGTCACCTGTACATGGAAGAGGAGCTGGAAGGGAAGGAGAGATCAATAAAAGGCTGTGATATCTAACCTACCTGGAGATTGTGGGCAGGATCCAGGGAGATCCGAAAAGTGTTTTGACCCTTGTAGGGTCGCAGCAGGAAGGTGAGCGGGCATGCTGGTCGTTTAGGATTTACACCCCACCGCTTGCACTAACACTGGAGCACCCGTATAAGGAGAAAATTATTGTGTTACTCTTGCCTTTAGCATGTATGATGGTACTATATGGACATTTATGTTTCACACTTGATTTATAACAAATGCGAATGGTACACTGAGCACTTGTTGTTTGCAATATACCGTATTTTTCGCTCCATAAGACGCACCTGACCATAAGACGCACCTAGGTTTTAGAGGCAGAAAACAGGAAAAAAAAAATCTGAACTAATGGACTGCAGACATAGTACAGGGATGACCAGAGACTGCGGACAGCACAGGGATGACCAGAGACTGCGGACAGCACAGGGATTTCCAGAGACTGCGGAAAGCACAGGGATTTCCAGAGACTGCGGACAGCACAGGGATGACCAGAGACTGCGGACAGCACAGGGATGACCAGAGACTGCGGACAGCACAGGGATGACCAGAGACTGCGGACAGTACAGATGACTGCTGACCTTTGGGGAGGTGGGGAGCGGGTACGTGCATTTGACAGGTACCCGCTCTTACTTCCGCAGAGTTTTTGTTTGATCTTACCTGTTCCTCGATCCAGCTGCACGCTGTCTTCCCGGCTTCTGTAATGGCGCTCGGCATGACAGCCGGGTGCCCAGTGCGCATGAGCGAGAAGCACTTGCGCTTTGTGATTGGTCCGGCGGCTTGTGGGATCTGTCATATGTCCCAGGTACCGCCTTACCATTCACAAAAAGCACCGCTTCTTGCGCATGCGCACTTGGCACCGGCTGTCATGCCCAGTGCCCACACTACAGAAGCCGGGAAGACAGCGCGCCGCTGGATAGAGGAACAGGTAAGATCAAAGAACAAAGTAGTAAGAGCGGGTACCTGTCAAATTCAGGTACCCGCTCCCCACCTCCCCAAAGGTCAGCAGTCCTCTCCATAAGGTCCCGCTACAGAGCTGAGCGGCCGGCCCGGTATTCTGACACGGCGGCGGTGGAAATACCGGACCGGCCGCTCCATATTCGCTCCATAAGACGCACTGACATTTTCCCCCCTTTTTTTGGGGGGAAAAAAGTGCGTCTTATGGAGCGAAAAATACGGTATATCCCTATATAGGGACCCACTTTCTTTTTTTTGTGCATATCACACTTGAATATTGGGGATTGGTCCCAGTGAGGGACAGGTTTGGGTCCTATTGGACCGCATGTTTTTCTTCTGCACCTTTTAGCACCTAATAGATCCTGGCAGATCTTATGCACCTGTAAGTTTTATAACTGTATATGCGTTTATGTTTATTGATCTGTATCCACTGATTTTATAATTATTTGTATGTGTAAAAATAGCGCTGCACCATTCTGTTTATTATAATGCATTGTCCTGATTTAGGTATAGGATAGGGTTTTGGCTGCTTATATCATTATTCCTTCACTCTCAGCAACGCAGGAGGATCTCCACCTACTATTATCAGTTACAAGCATGACTCCCAAAGGCAGAGGCATGATGGGACTTTTTAGTTTTGCAACAGCTGGAGGGCCGCCATTTTGACACCCCTGTAGTAGAGCATGCCCAGTACACTATAAAAGGTGTTTTTTTCTTAAATTACATGGAGATTATTTTATATGATGTAGCTTATCTTGATAGAGTGGGGGGAGGTCAGAACCTTTTATGTTTTTATTGCTGTTTGTCTCCTCATTTAGGAGATTCACTCTGTAATTTGTTCAGATCACCAGTGTCATGGGGAATGAAAGTTAAATTTTGAGTGGTCTTCTAATGGGTACACTTGTTCATGTGACAACTATCCAAGATAGGGTTTTCCTCAGGTTGGAAAGAAATCCCCTCACTTCCTGTTGAGTCTTTAGGATAGAAAGTGGAGAGAAATCTCCCTAACGAACCTCAGATGGCAAAAAAGAAACTGACATCAGTTACTTAACTTCAGCAAGATGTCTCCACCCAGCTCCCCATTCATAGATGCCGGTATTGCAGCTAATAGAAATACAATTTAATATATGAGTTTTAGGATGGGCATATGATTGAAAGGTCCTCCCCCGTCATTCATAGAAATGGTTTCGTTCATAAAAGCTGTAGTACGGCTTCTGTGAATGGAGGAACTGGGCTGAAAAGGTGGGCGTGGTCTGGCACTCTTGATGACAGCCTGTGACTGCTCCCTTAGTTCTGTTAATTCCTTGCTGAAGATTACAAGGCTGGGAGGTATCGGAGGCAGAAGATTTCTGCTAAAGGGGGGGAAGGGGGACACGTCTCGCTGACAGTAAGTAATGTCAATTGAGCTTATTCTTTTATTTTTTGAAAATTAAATTTAGTCTTTGGTCACACCGAATCCAACTTTGAAATCGTGCGACTTTACTTGAATTTGCAGTTTCAGTCTGATTTCAGTCCGACTTGGAGAACATCTGTGCAACTTCATGCACAGATGTCTATGCAAGTCGCACCTGAACTTGCCAAGAGTAGTGCATGCAATATTTTCAAAATCTGCGTGACTGTGATGGAGTCGGAATCTCACCGATATGACCGCTTCCATTGCGGACAATAGGGTGTGACTTGTCATGCGATTTTTTTTTTTTTTTTTTTTTTTTTTTTTTTGATGGAAAATGAAAGTAAGTATTTGTCATTTCCTGTCCCTTTGATGGCTTGTAACAGTAGGACAAGAAATGAGGGGAGCAGTTGTCACTGGGACAGGAAGTCACAGACAGTAATACCCTGATAGATGTTCTAACCTTCTCCAATTTACTTTACTCTGGCTGTGTTGTCTAGGTTTATTTTCAGCAATGTCCTTGCCATTTGACACAATTAATAAGATGCGCTGGATGCCTTCCATGTCTTTTTCTGTTTAAGCTGAATTCCTGTCGGATTTTACCGCGTTGTACAGTGCTCTGTCTGAGGTCCATTGCACCCTAGGATATTTTGTAATGCACATGTTTATGGTGAAGATACCATTTACTTTGATTTGAAATACATTTATGTGAATCATTTAGTTTTCCAAAAGGATTTTGACTCTGCTCAGACAGTCTTGTTGTACAGGCCCGCCTGCCAGACAGCAGTGAGAGGTCCTGGACCTTCTGCAGAATACATTGCATAATTAAGCAATACAGTCTGGCCTGGACCCACCACAGTGTATCTGAATGGTGGAAGAGAAGCAGCACACAAACATGGCCATTCCAAAGCTATACCTTCCTGTAATCATATTCACAGTCCTAGACTGACAGCAGTATGCATAAGGGTTCCTTGAGGAATTAGCAATTTCTGCCTCTCAGGTAAGTAATCGTTGACACCAAAGATCTGTAAGGGGATAATTTTTTCCACTGATCACCAATGTAAGGACCATTCTTCCCACTGACCACCAATGTAAGGGACATTCTTCCCACTGATCACCAATGTAAGGGGCATTCTTCCCACTGACCCAAATGTAAGGGGCATTCTTCCACTGATCACCAATGTAAGGACCATTCTTCCCACTGACCACCAATGTAAGGGACATTCTTCCCACTGATCACCAATGTAAGGACCATTCTTCCCACTGACCACCAATGTAAGGGGCATTCTTCCCACTGATCACCAATGTAAGGGACATTCTTCCCGCTGATCACCAATGTAAGGGGCATTCTTCCCACTGATCACCAATGTAAGGGACATTCTTCCCACTGACCACCAATGTAAGGAACATTCTTCCCACTGATCACCAATGTAAGGAACATTCTTCTCACTGATCACCAATGTAAGGGACATTCTTCCCACTGACCATCAACGTAAGGAGCATTCTTCCCACTGATCACCAATGTAAGGGGCATTCTTCCCACTGATCACCAATGTAAGGGACATTCTTCCCACTGACCTCCAATGTAAGGGACATTCTTCCCACTGATCACCAATGTAAGGGACATTCTTCCCACTGATCACCAATGTAAGGGGCATTCTTCCCACTGATCACCAATGTAAGGGACATTCTTCCCACTGATCACCAATGTAAGGGACATTCTTCCCACTGATCACCAATGTAAGGAGCATTCTTCCCACTGACCACCAACGTAAGGAGAATTCTTCCCACTGACCACCAACGTAAGGGACATTCTTCCCCTTGACCAATATAAGGGGCATTCTTCCCCCTGACCACCAATATAAGGGACATTCTTCCCATTGAGCACCAACGTTAGGAGCATTCTCCCTTCTGGCCACCAATGTAAGGACCATTCTTCCCACTGACCACCAATGTAAGGAACATTCTTCCCACTGATCACCAATGTAAGGGACATTCTTCCCACTGACCACCAATGTAAGGGACATTCTTCCCACTGACCACCAATGTAAGGAGCATTCTTCCCACTGACCACCAAGGTAAGGAGCATTCTTCCCACCGACCACCAATGTAAGGGACATTCTTCCCCCTGACCACCAATATAAGGGGCATTCTTCCCATTGACCACCAACATAAGGAGCATTTTCCCTTCTGGCCACCAGTATAAGGACCGTTCTTCCCACTGACCACCAATGTAAGGAACATTCTTCCCACTGACCCCCAATGTAAGGGACATTCTTCCCACTGATCACCAATGTAAGGGATATTCTTCCCACTGATCACCGATGTAAGGGGCATTCTTCCCACTGATCACCAATGTAAGGGACATTCTTCCCACTGATCACCAATGTAAGGGGCATTCTTCCCACTGACCACCAATGTAAGGGACATTCTTCCCACTGACCTCCAATGTAAGGGACATTCTTCCCACTGATCACCAATGTAAGGAGCATTCTTCCCATGACCACCAATGTAAGGAGCATTCTTTCTACTGATCACCAACGTAAGGAACATTCTCCCTTCTGGCCACCAACGTAAGGAGCATTCTTCCCACTGATCACCAATGTAAGGAGCATTCTTCCCACTGATAACCAATGTAAGGGGGCATTCTTCCCACTGATCACCAATGTAAGGGCATTCTTCCCACTGACCCCCAATGTAAGGAGCATTCTTCCCACTGACCCCCAATGTAAGGAGCATTCTTCCCACTGACCCCCAATGTAAGGAGCATTCTTCCCACTGACCCCCAATGTAAGGAGCATTCTTCCCACTGACCACCAATGTAAGGGACATTCTTCCCACTGACCACCAATGTAAGGAGCATTCTTCCCACTGACCACCAATGTAAGGAGCATTCTTCCCACTGACTAATGGAAAGGCTAATGTACATTAAGCTGCCAATCTAGTACTTATTAGCAGGGGTTCCCTGAGACCTTAAAGTTATTTAAAGAGTTCCTCCATGTTTAAAGGGTTGAGAAAGGTTGCTTGCTCGGCCCTCTTCCAGTTTGTCTTGTTGTGTAGATACTATATTGCCTGCATTTTACATACAAATATTATATCATTTTTAATTCATGCAAAACTGGATTCTGTTGTGTTTTTATTTAAAACTGTAGAAGATAAAAGAGAAGCTTCACATGTGTATGGACGGTTGTATTGACCAATGTTTCTCAACCTTTTTTCAGTCAAGGCACCCTTTAAAATTATGGACAGTTTTGAGGCACCCCCATTCTAACATGTGAAATACTATTCTAATAGTTTTATATAACTCAGCAACATCCTCACATGTAGGACACTCAACATTAGAGGTGATTTATTCTTCCAAAGCAAATATACTTTTCCACACTGGTACTGACTAGTATTCCAGTGTTTCTCTTCTCTCTCAGTTTTTCTCCATCATTGAGCTAATGTGACCCCAGCACTGATGGAGAGGGGCGGGGGAGCGTCAAACTAGGGTGCTGTGCAGGCAGCTGACATTTTCCTTATCAACTGACTTTGTCATTGGTTGTCAGAAAACCGGGGGGCTTGAAGGTCATAATGGTGCACAATGAAAACCTGTGGCTTTGTGTAACTAAAAGACAGGCTTGTTCCACCCGCTGGCTTCTATACAAGGTTTGGACAATTTTTGGACATTTTGCCAAGGCACCCCTGAAGAAACTTCAAGGCACCCCAGAGTGCCTGGGCACCCTGGTTGAGAAAGGCTGGTGTAGATTGTGACCCATTAAATGATAAAGGCAGCCAGCCAGTTCACTTAGACCTGCTTCTGTCACAGAGGAGGCCAAGGCTGAACATTGGGTCGAAATGAAAAATAACTTTTGCACAGTTCTTTCTGTCATCAGATCCATGGTCACAGCTGTATAAGTCATTGTTTATAACTTGATTCTATTCACTAGTATAGGGGTCAGTAACCATCTCTACATTAAAGCAGAACTTTTTTTTTTTTTTAGATTTATTGGTAGCAATACCACCTCTCAGATATATTACCACTGATGATGACTATCCTATGGCCAGATCACTGCTGTTTACTGTACAAGTAGTCTATTGATGCTGGATACATCACACAGCGCTGATCTTCCATTACTGCGGGTGAGAATACCGGCTCTCATACAGTGAAGGATCCTGTTGTTCAACCTGCCCTTCTACTCTCCATGTCTATTTACAGAAAGCTCTGCATTCTGTAAACAGAATACAAGGTGTTTTGTGAACAGATGAGATGAGAGGAAAGGGAGGCTGAATGATATGGTGCAGGGTATACAAGCAGTAGTGTATTTAGATTTTGTGCTGCCCTAGGCAACACAAAAAAAGTCTGCTCCCACGGACACCGACCATCATCATTTCACTACCCCCCCCCCCCATCCCGGCGATAGAGAAAAAGACACTCCTAGTCACAGCTCCGGACATCCCCAGGAACGAGAGTCAGGCTCTACATCAAGCAGCCCGCAGCCTCTCTTGGATCCCACCTGGTTCCCATGGCAAGTGTATCCCTTCTTTCTTCTCTTCTTCTGAGGGGAGGTGCTGCCCCCCTAAAAACTGCTGCCATAGGCAAGTGCCTTGTGGTAAATATGCCCCTGTATACAAGGCATCACCAAGATTCAAGAATAAACATCTCTTGTATTTGGACCACTGTTTCACAATCTTTTTTAACATGGAAGAAACTTTGAAATAAGTTTCCGGTCTCAGGGAACCTCTGCTAATAATACCTATATCTACAGCTCACTATACATTAATGTGATGGTCATAGGGAAGAATGCTTCTTACATTTGAAACGGGAAGATTCTCCCGTGACTTCAGACAGCTATAAAGATCATTGCTGTAAAAAGGAGCTTGTGTGAGAGGCAGGAATTCCCCATTGCTCAGGGAACCCCTAGTAACCCGATGAATGAATCCTGGTTGAGAGGTTGATGTAAACACATTTTTGCTTATCCCAGCATACAGATTTAGATGACGTTTTTACTAACATTAGACAATGAGGGTGCCAGTGTACAATAGTACTGACGTTGTAGTCTGACGTTGTTCTACCATTTTTACATTCATAGTTGTACTGTTGGCAAGATAAACAAATTCTATAATCGTTTTTGGAGTTTAACGTGCCAATTGCAGTACAATTATAAGTACACATATTTTGATTAACAGTTGCACATACAAAACCTGTTCAGCTGCAATGCATGTACTTCATATTTAAGATCAACTCCAAATCCTGCACCTTTAGGAATGTACGGTAACGCTGTAGACTTCAGAACGCCGACTGGCATGCACTTCAGACCCGAGATCGGCTCCAGTGCATGCACTTCAGACCCGAGATCGGCTCCAGTGCATGCACTTCAGACCCGAGATCAGCTCCAGTGCGTGCACTTCAGCCCTCAGATCGGCTCCAGTGCGTGCACTTCAGCCCTCAGATCGGCTCCAGTGCGTGCACTTCAGCCCCAGATCGGCTCCAGTGCCACTTCAGCCCTTGAGATCGGCTCCAGTTCACTTCAGCCCTCAGATCGGCTCCAGTGCATGCACTTCAGCCCTCAGATCGGCTCCAGTGCATGCACTTCAGCCCTCAGATCGGCTCCAGTGCATGCACTTCAGCCCTCAGATCGGCTCCAGTGCATGCACTTCAGCCCTCAGATCGGCTCCAGTGCATGCACTTCAGCCCTCAGATCGGCTCCAGTGCGTGCACTTCAGACCCCAGATCGGCTCCAGTGCATGCACTTCAGACTTGAGATCGGCTCCAATGTTTGCACTTCAGACCCGAGATCGGCTCCAGTGTGTGCACTTCAGACCCCAGATCGGCTCCAGTGCATGCACTTCAGACCCGAGCTCGGCTCCAGTGCGTGCACTTCAGACCCGAGATCGGCTCCAGTGCGTGCACTTCAGACCTTAGCTCAGCTCCAGTGCGTGCAATTTAGACCTGAGATTGGCTCCAGTGCGTGCAATTTAGACCTGAGATTGGCTCCAGTGCATGCAATTTAGACCTGAGATTGGCTCCAGTGCGTGCACTTCAGACCTTAGCTCGGCTCCAGTGCGTGCAATTTCAGACCTGAGATTGGCTCCAGTGCGTGCAATTTAGACCTGAGATTGGCTCCAGTGCATGCACTTCAGACCCGAGATTGGCTCCAGTGCGTGCACTTCAGACCCGAGATTGGCTCCAGTGCGTGCACTTCAGACCCGAGATTGGCTCCAGTGCGTGCACTTCAGACCCGAGATTGGCTCCAGTGCGTGCACTTCAGACCCCCTGAGATCGGCTCCAGTGCGTGCACTTCAGACCCGAGATTGGCTCCAGTGTGTGCACTTCAGACCCGAGATTGGCTCCAGTGCGTGCACTTCAGACCCGAGATTGGCTCCAGTGCGTGCAATTTAGACCTGAGATCGGCTCCAGTCCGTGCAATTTAGACCTGAGATTGGCTCCAGTGCGTGCACTTCAGACCTTAGCTCGGCTCCAGTGCGTGCAATTTAGACCTGAGATTGGCTCCAGTGCGTGCACTTCAGACCCGAGATCGGCTCCAGTGCGTGCACTTCAGACCCCGAGATCGGCTCCAGTGCGTGCACTTCAGACCCGAGATCGGCTCCAGTGCGTGCACTTCAGACCCGAGATCGGCTCCAGTGCGTGCACTTCAGACCCGAGATCGGCTCCAGTGCGTGCACTTCAGACCCGAGATCGGCTCCAGTGCGTGCACTTCAGACCCGAGATCGGCTCCAGTGCGTGCACTTCAGACCCGAGATCGGCTCCAGTGCGTGCACTTCAGACCCGAGATCGGCTCCAGTGCGTGCACTTCAGACCCGAGATCGGCTCCAGTGCGTGCACTTCAGACCCGAGATCGGCTCCAGTGCGTGCACTTCAGACCCGAGATCGGCTCCAGTGCGTGCACTTCAGACCCGAGATCGGCTCCAGTGCGTGCACTTCAGACCCGAGATCGGCTCCAGTGCGTGCACTTCAGACCCGAGATCGGCTCCAGTGCGTGCACTTCAGACCCGAGATCGGCTCCAGTGCGTGCACTTCAGACCCGAGATCGGCTCCAGTGCGTGCACTTCAGACCCGAGATCGGCTCCAGTGCGTGCACTTTCAGACCCGAGATCGGCTCCAGTGCGTGCACTTCAGACCCGAGATCGGCTCCAGTGCGTGCACTTCAGACCCGAGATCGGCTCCAGTGCGTGCACTTCAGACCCGAGATCGGCTCCAGTGCGTGCACTTCAGACCCGAGATCGGCTCCAGTGCGTGCACTTCAGACACCGAGATCGGCTCCAGTGCGTGCACTTCAGACTCGAGATCGGCTCCAGTGCGTGCACTTCAGACTCGAGATCGGCTCCAGTGCGTGCACTTCAGACTCGAGATCGGCTCCAGTGCGTGCACTTCAGACTCGAGATCGGCTCCAGTGCGTGCATTCAGACTCGAGATCGGCTCCAGTGCGTGCACTTCAGACTCGAGATCGGCTCCAGTGCGTGCACTTCAGACTCGAGATCGGCTCCAGTGCGTGCACTTCAGACTCGAGATCGGCTCCAGTGCGTGCACTTCAGACTCGAGATCGGCTCCAGTGCGTGCACTTCAGACCCGAGATCGGCTCCAGTGCGTGCACTTCAGACCCGAGATCGGCTCCAGTGCGTGCACTTCAGACCCGAGATCGGCTCCAGTGCGTGCACTTCAGACCCGTGCGTGATCGGCTCCAGTGCGTGCACTTCAGACCCGAGATCGGCTCCAGTGCGTGCACTTCAGACTCGAGATCGGCTCCAGTGCGTGCACTTGAGACCTCAGATCGGCTCCAGTGCGTGCAATTCAGCCCTCAGATCGGCTCCAAACCCTGCACCTTTAGAAAATCAGGGTACCACTACAGACTTCAGATCTCA